CATGCTTTAAACTATTATTCTGAGTTATGGTGTCTCCATGAAATAATACATGTATACATCCCTTCAGTTTAATTCACTTATCTGATAACAGGCTTTATTTTTGTCTTGGCATAGGTTATTTCCTGGCACAGGACAATTCTGGAAGAAGGTAGATGAACTGGGCCTCTCAAGCAAAAGTAAGTACCAGAAAATGATTTAAGTGACAAGAATGTAGACTTTTATTTTGACTCACAAGTATTTTAACCACCAAACAACTTGGGAAATGAATTTTAGAATATGATGCGGTTAAAATTAATTCATATAATTTTCAGAGTAAACTTTATAACCAAACATATATGTCAAAATAACATATTTTACAAACCAAAAGAACAAACAACAAAACTGGACAAACCATGACAGCCATGTAAAAGAAACTCAACAACCTTAAAAGTTCCCCAAATAATAAAATAACATGTTATGTATAGTATATCTGCTTTTTCCCCATGAAACTTCCACTGCATTGCTATCCTTGACTAAGCAACATCATATTTTACTTAAGCACACATAGCAGACAACCCTGAGTATTTTTAAAGAAAATGAAATATAATTTAATTTTTATTAAACCTGCCATTGCCAGAATTATCTTTTTTGATACAAAAATCTGGCCACTCTTCCATAAAAATCTTTTAGTGGATTCCCATTGCCTGTACTATAAAGCTCAAAAGAGTTCACTTGTGATTGGCTCTTCTCATCCATTCTCCTACACACATCTTTTGACCTGTTTTGAAATAATAGTAGGTCTCTGAATCTTTGAGAGATCTATTAATATTTCCTTCTTTGAACAGGTCTCTTTGAATAGGCAGACATACAGTGAAACTAATGAAATCTTACTTACCTGGGCCATATAATTTTATATTTGTAATTTTGTATTCCTTAAAGAAAGTTTTCCAAATTGTGTATACTTTGGGCCCCACAAAACCTAGATCCACCTCTATTTTTTTTTTTTTTGCCTGAAATTCCCTTTTCTCCCTTTATCTAGTTACTTCTATTCACTCCTTTGAAACTTGCCAACTTGTCAACTCTTCAGGGAAGGCTTCCCGGACCATCCTCAGTCTGATTTAGATGCCTCTTTCATGCTCTCAGTCTATGTTGCTATCATGATTCATCACACCATGCAGTAATTGTTGGTTTAATTTCTTATCTCACCGAGCTGAATATCAGTTCCTTGAGAGCATGGGTCATGATGAATGAACAAATGAATAGAAACAACTTTTTTCCCCAAGAAAATTTCTCTGTCACTGTCTCTCTCTCTACATATCTATCTACATATACATGTATAATCCAGAGAATAACATAGTATAATATGTATTATATAAATAAAATTTGTTATGAAATCATATTTTGGAAGTTTTCTATCAGTTTAGGCTTTCTATTCTCTATTTCTAGAGACAGAGACTCTACAGGATAATATATAATAATACATATTATATATAAACTTAGTTATAAAATCATATTTTGGATGTTTTCTGTAGTATTCATTTTCTTCATGTTCTTTTGCTTTTTTCATCCATATTTGGAAGGGAATGCCGAATGATTAACGTAAATATATAAGAGCAAAACTTAAAATTAAGAAATGTTCATTAAATTGTATTTTTCAGTAAACAAGTGAAAAGATTGCTGGCAAAATATAATTTCTAAGCCTTAAAATTATGAACTTGTTTTTGGAACATGGTGATCACACCATTTGAATTGTTAGCCAGGCTTCTTCCCTGATAATCTCTATCTCTAAACTCTGTAACATCAAGTCTAACCTCTGCCCTAGGTTCTCAACCAATGCTGCATTTGCCTATTCAAACTGGTAGAATACAACAGTGAACAAGCAGGTGAAATTAAAATCGAGGGCTGGATTAGTCAACAAATATTCATTGAATATCTACTACATGCCAATTTCAGAGCCTCCTTTATAGACAACAGGAGAATGGCTTCATTCTTGTCCTAGCTATCTTTTTAAGACACAAATTTTAAAAACAAATGCTTTGAATTAGCATTAGGACTATTCATGAAAGGATGTCTATGATACCTTGAGTTTAAAAAGCAAGTTATGAAATACATATATGTATGCACACATATGTATTACATTTTGTAAATATCAAAAATAAAAAGCTCTGCACATTGTATTTATGTATATGTTCATTGAAAAAGGCATGGCAAGAGTACATATTCTACCTACTGGCATTGCTAGCCAATTTTGCTTTTATTTATTTATTTATTTTTTTTGAGACAGAGTCTCACTTTGTTGCCCAGGCTAGAGTGAGTGCCGTGGCGTCAGCCTAGCTCACAGCAACCTCAGACTCCTGGGCTCAAGCAATCCTACTGCCTCA